AGAAATTTCTTAATCTTTGCTAAGTGTTCTGCTATGGTTAATTGAAAAAAACAATTAATGTATATTAACAGAAAATCTCCGAGTTGAAGTTTCTTTAAATAACTAACAGTTTATGAGACAAGGAACACTGCATAGGAATAACAGAGCATATGTTGACCAAGTTGTTCCCACTTCTCGTGTTGGAAGGTTATGGTAGTCAGTTCCACAGTTTCCTGACCTGGTACTTAGTGAGGGCCTTGGAGCATCCTTCTCCTCTGCTCCCGCCCCATCTACAATCAACCTGCTCATCACCATGGCCAACTCCTGCCACCTCATTTCCCTGCATCTGTTTCTGCCTCTGTACAATTCCGTGGAGAGGGACAGTTGATCACTAATGCCCCTCTCAGAAGAACCTGGAAACTTCAGTCCTGATGTGATCAAATAAAATGAATAGAGTCCCTCACTGGATAGAAAGATCACAGTACAGTACACACACTAGTGTGATAAGTTTCTGAGAAATAGTCTGCAATACACCTTACTGCAGAGGAGCAAGCATGGCCCCCACCACACCAGGTGCTAAAATTTCATGATGAAATGAGTCTGAAGAGATGCTTTACTACCTTTTCCACTTATTGGATGGGTGCCTGTGAGAAGCTGCTTAATCCTAAGATCCCTCATGGGCAAATGGGTTCTAATTTACTTCTAAGGTTCTAATGAGAATGACATGAGATAATGTGACAATTTAGCATCACATCTAAGATTGCTGGTAGTTGTTTCCTGAATGTGAAATTAATGAGATGCTCAAAGAGCAAAAGCTTCTCCCATTATTATGATTCGCATAACTTTGTACATTGGTGTGTACTTGACCACGTTCAATTCTGCCTGCTTCTGACAGCCTAAAAAGGTTTCTGGAGACTCCTTCCATTTAGAGAAGACTCCATTGGCAGACTTCATTTCTTCCCCCAACTAAAACTCTCAAGCAGCAGACACCTAAAACATAATTCAGTGAGCTGCTTGGCCCATCAGGCCTTGCCTGCCATCCCACCTGCCATGACACGATGAAACTAGTCTTCTCCTCATTTTCATATTCTCACACCTCAAACTGATGCTCCAAACCCAGCTCTCAGCGCTGCCCCAAAGCCCCGGGGCCAAGCGAACACATGCAGCAAGTGGCTTTGCTCCCATTTTACACATGTTAGAATGGAGGCAAACTCTTATGCAGATGGGTCCCAGGTGTTGGACACGAAGGGGTTCCAAAAGGCTTCGGGGCCTTTGTATGTCTGGTTTTTCCTTCTTCTGGATTTCTGCCAAAGCTAGGGGGCATGAGCTAAGCACATGAGAGAAACCCGCTCATTCAGAACTGAATGTGCAGGCTCTGAGCCTATGGTCCTCACAGTTCTGCCTGTGAATAGCCCTGCAGAAGCCCATGGAACTCTGCCATTGCACAGGACAAAGGGGAAATGTGACATTTTCAACATGGTAGTGCCCTTCCTGAGTTAAGGATCTATTCAGTTCCTCTGGAGCACGCTTAACTTTTTTATTCCTTCCTCGGTGCATCTTCTGGTCTGACCACACCATGAAAATCCTCAAGGATGGGGGAATGGACTGATGCTGAATCACCAAATTGTCCAAATGTGTTTCCTGACTATTGAATTGTGGCCAGGCATTCTTCTCTGCCGCTTGCCCTTCTAAAAGTCCTTGATCAAAATAGGCAGGATGTGGCTTCAAAACATAGCACTTTCAAAACTGAAAGAATGCAATTCCAACAGCCTTGTCTCTCTGAACTCAATGGGCTGTATGCTACTCCTAATAGAACAGCTAAAGTTTTGTTTTGTTTTTTTTTTAACTTTTATTGGTTACCGTTTAGGTAAGAGTGAAATTGCTGAGTGTCTGACTGAGACATGTTTATATATGCAGGCAGCAAATAGAAGCATGAAGATGAAGATGAACTTGAGGGCACTTCTGTTCTCAAGTACAACACTCAGTCTGCCTCTCCTTGTGAGCTGGGCTGCAGGAGGGCAGAGGCAGACTCTGAGACTTTAGTTCAAGTGCCATTCTGTCACTTACTTTCTCTGGGATCTTAGTTAAAGGGCTTAATCTCCTTGGAAATTGAAGTTCGTAACCTCTAAAATGGGGCAACAACTACCCCTTAGGTTCATTGTGATAACATTTAAAGTGTAAGTGACACAGGACTTGAACGTGATAGGTTAGAAAAAATTCACTCAACACCTAAGTATTGACAATATACTCTGAGCTGCGTGGTATGCACTGCCCAACTCTGGGCCATAGTTTACAACATAATTCTCTGGTATTTGTAAATTTACTAGGACAACAGGCGTGTTCTTTTCTTGGCAGAAAAATAAACCTTTTTGAGAAAGGCATACCATTTAAAAATTCTCACAAAGGCACAATGTAGGCTATGTAACTTAAAGGGCAAAGGCAACATAGAAACTCAAAATAATCTCACTGGTTGATAGTTATATCGGATCTTGAAAGAGCAAGGATGTGAAGGACAAGGAGGGAAGAGAAAGCATTCCTCACAGAATGAAAAGCTACTGAACCCCAGCAGCAGCAGCAATTTCAAACATGTCCACACCTTCTTGAATATTCCTTCCTTTAAAAGATGAGGTGCAGGCTGATTTGGTGACACACACTTCTCAATGAACTGACTGTGGTGGGTGGGTGTGCGTCAGCATACTGGATCACAGCGGGCATCATGACTTCCTCCTTGCTTCCTTGTGGGTCACTCTCTCTGGGGGAAGCCAGATGCCACCTTGTAAGGATTCTTTCCAGCACCAAGTGAACCATCTTGGAATGAGATTCTCCAGCCCCAGTTGAGCCTTCAGATGATACAGCCTTGGCTGATGTCCAGTCTGCAGCCTAATGAGACACCCTGAGCCAGAACCATATGGCTAAGCCACTCCAGGGTTCCTGAACCACAGAAATGGAGATAATAAATATTTATTGTTGTATGTTGTTGTTGAAGAAATTTGCTACACGGCAATAAGTCATTAACACAGTGGTAACATGTTTCCAATGGAAACTTCCTTTGCTTGGAGCCTGCCACCTTGGATGGTGAAGGGGACAGAGAAGATGAGGCTTGAAAGCTCAACATTCTTTGTTTAACAAGCTAGGATTTATACTTATCAGCATAATACCCAAGCTGGAGGATATTTTTACATAGAGGACATTTTTACATAATTGGAGTTGATTTTTATATCTCTGGCATGAAAAGGGCTGTGAAGAGCCTGGCTGAGGGGAAGGGAGGTTTCCAGTTAGGAAGTTCTAGGAACAATAGTTCAGGTAAGAGAAGATGAGAGTTAGAATGAAGAGAATGGCAGAGGAGGTGCATGTGGGAGAATTGTCTTAAAAATTGCTGTTTTTCAGAAAGAAACCACAATTTCCAGGGCTATCTAGTGCAATCACACTTCACTCTACTTTGTAGAGGGGGGAAAAGTGTGCTGAACTGTATGACAACCCTGTATTCATACCAACATCATCATCACCACACACACACACACACACACACACACACACACACACACACACACACGGTACTTATTGATACTTCCATGCACTAATAGAATGAGCATTTTGCTTAAAAGACTTCACCATTAGGAAACATCTCCCTCTTAGGATTTACTATTAAGCATTTGAATTAGTCCTTTATAGAAACTCTAATTTCAAGAACAAAAAGTAAATGAGTGCCCACCTTCCATAAAGGGAACCAGAAATAAGGCCACAGAATATTAGACTGAATTATAGTGAGATGATTTATAGCCCCGTTGGAATACAATTTAATGTGGTTTCAAAATGTTGAGAGATTCAATAGAATTTATGACTAAAACAGCATAGGCATAGATATCAAATTAGCAAAGAAGTGCTCATCTCCCAGACAAACTGGTTTTCTTAGAAAAAGAATATCTATTTTTGGTATTTCAATAGCCCCAGAAAAAGTGGATATATAAATGCTAATAAGGCTTGAATATTTTAAATGGCCACATTTCTATCCCAATGGTGAAGGAAGTGTGTGTGCATGTATGTATGTATTTTCATCCCATTATCTTAATTGCACTGTATAATCACCACTCATAGATGAATTTCAAAATGTTTCTTTTGGGAAGTACAGTTCTAGTTGAACTGAAAATTAATCAGAGAAGCAGAAAGAATTCAAAACCAGTAGAAAGAGAGAGAGTCAAGGAACCAAATTTGATTTTCAGAAGAAAAATATTTATGTACAGTAATAGCTGGGAATCACATAATTTCTGTTTCTGAAAATGACGTCTTAAATAATACTTTCTTTTACATTTACATATTATATGGAATGTTGAAGAAATGTTAACCTTCAAATAATTTGATTCAATAAATACTCGTTGAATACTTGGTGTCCTAACAGGAGATGAGACATTTCCACTATGAAGAATATTTCTCTTAAAATAAAAGTGAAAATCTAAATTCCTTGAGGCAGAGACTCTGTTGTTGACCACAATAGTCACATGTCCATTGTGAGGCCTGAAAAAGGGACTCACTGGACAAGTGACCTGTTGAAAGAAGAATGAATGAATGAGTGACAAATGCATGAACGTGTGTCATGTTAAATGTGTTGGGGCTGTATAAAAATAAGAACAAGGCTATAAATTTCCAACGTGTGCCCCCACTGTAAGAATTCATACATAGTTACAACTCCAGAGTCTAGCGGAAGATGTAAAAGGTTTTGTTGTTTAAGAAAAGATAAAAATAACTGAAGTGTGAGCTAAGGAACAAAGAGGCTGCATATTTTAGAAGCCTTGATGCAACTATTTAGGCAAAAGCACATTGCTGGGGCTACAATGAAGAACACTGATGTTCAAAAATAACTGTGATATAGGGAAAAATAACTTAATTAAACAATGTTTCTTGAAGACGATCAAAAATCTGCTTCTGGCTCACATGCCAAAGCTGAACTTCCAGAAAAATACAAAGAGAAACCACCACCATCAGTGCCTGCACCAGAGCTATTTATTAGCATAAGTTTCCCTTCGTTTTCTTCAAGTTTTCATAACAACTGAAGTATGTACAAAGTCTTACAGCATTTACACCATAAAAAAGTTTCTTATTAGCTGACGAAGTCTAAGGTAGGGCTCCTGAATTTCAGAGCGTAAGTACAAGAGCAATGAAGCAGACCACTGCATGTGTACCTTTTGCTACAACAACACAACTGTCAGCTGGTTGACAGCTAACTGGAAGACAGGTTATTGGGGGGCAGGGGGGGAGAAAGGGAACGAGTTGATATGTAGCACTAGAGACCACGGGGGCAAGGGAGACCTATATAGTGTGTGTTTCTAGTTTCCTAGAGCTGTAACGAAGGCCCAGAGCCTGAGGGAATAACATAGGCAAGACAACACCATCACACCTCTCAGATATGATCAGCCACCAAAGGCGTTCACTGTTGAAAAGGAGGCTCTATACCAGTGGTCGGCAAACTCATGAGTCAACAGAGCAGCAAAAAGTGGCTCTCGAGCTGCAGTTTGCCGACCACTGCTCTATGCTAATATGGCTGGTATTTCCGTGTGTCTGTGTGTTCATGTCTTCAGACAGCACAGACCTGCACACTCCCTTGTCCTCTCTCCCAAATAAAACAACAATAAAGAAAGGGCAGGAAGGAGGAAAGAGACTCAGCATGACCAAAAATAGCCCCTCTTCCCCCAATTTAAAGACATTGAGTAACAACTTCAAAGTGGCCATTCTTGTCAAAAAGAATAATAGTAGAAACTTCTGCATCAACCCAAATCAGAAGACTATCAACAGAACCCCGGACATTCAACCTCCTAGATATAACCACCTTCATTGTACCTGATTGTCTTTTCTTGGGGTCAGTATTATGCAGAGCCACCAGTTTTTATTTACACACTACATAGGACACAGGACGTAGCATTGTTGCCCCAACTGTTACTTGAGCAAGGGGCAAGAGCATTGCAGTGTGTAAGGAATTAACCTCAGCCTCACCACTTTCTTTCCTCAGAAAACCCAGCCTGGTTCTAGCTCAGGTCAGTTATCCTATCCGTGTGGTTAGCAGATTCCATTTATTTCCCTCTTGTTTGGGTGTCACACGTAGGCAAATTGGCTTTTTTTTTTTTTTTTCAAAAAGATGCTCCTCTCAACTTAAAAGCCAGTTGGTAAAACTTTTAATTAAGACACAATAGAGTGGGGTATAAAACACAAGAACCACATAAATATTGAAGAAGTTGTATACCGTTTTTCGTGTGTGTAAACAGTTTTGCTTGAGATCAAAGCCCTCACATCAGGTTCTGGCCTGAAACTTTTTTTTGGCAGGTGACGTGTGTGTTCAGCCAGGCTCTGCAGCGATGATGGTTGTGTGACCGGGACTGCCGGGGTCAAGTCCCCTTTTGTTGACAGGCATGCAACTTGGAAAACATTGCACAACGAGCAACACAAAGAAGAGTGGAGAAGCTCACAACACTTCAAGGAGAGACCTCACGACCTTCACGACGGCGGATGCACAGACAAAGAGACCCACCCCCTTTCTCCCTCCTTCGCATACGGGCGCTGTGTGTCTCTTCTTACACGTGGGAGACCTTCTGGGACTCTCTGGCCTGCTTGATGCTATACAACCACTTGATGATCCTGGCATTCCTCTCGATCGCCGAAATGCCGTAGGGCACCCGGTCGTTGGCACTGTCATCGTTCCTAAGGTCGCTGTTGCTGTCCTGAGACTGCTCGCAGTCCGAGCTGATCATGCTGGCGCTGCGGAAGTTGAGGGAGATGATGTCCGAGTTGGCCCTGGCGAAGTTCTCCATGCCGAGGTTCTCCAGCTCCTCGGGGTCCAGCCCGCAGTAGTTGAAGAACCTCTCCACGTCGGCGTCCACGCGGAAGTACCTGTCACTCAGGTCCGACTTGGACCGCTGCAGGGAGGGCCTCCGGCTGACCCCGCAGGCGGGCTCCACGCTGGGGTCGGCGGCCTCGGGGGGCTTCGTGGTGGTGGCCACGGCTGCCACCTTGGGCTTGGGGGGCAGGGGAGGGGCGGAGCTGCTGCAGGGGATGGCTCTCAGGGGCTTGCCACCGGTCACTCTGCGGATGTCCGAGGAGCTGTGGGACACATGCAGGAAGGACTCTGCAGCCGTCTGCTCCAGCAGCCTCCTGCCCACATGCGAGCTGCTCTCCTGCGGGCTGCCCCGGCCCGGCGTGCTGCTGGTGCTGGGGTAGACCTTGAGGGACTCGGCGAAGGAGTGTCGGTGCAGGTCGGTGGCGTCAGGCCGGTGGTGGTGGTGGTGCGCAGGCCAGTTCCGGGAGCCGCTGTGCTTGTGGCCGGAGCCCGAGCTGGAGCCCTCCGAGCTGTTGATGATGTTCTTCAGGATCTCCAGCTTGAGGGTCTCCCGGTGCACGCCGCCCCCGCCGCCGCCGCTCTCGGACTTGGCGCTGGGCCCCAGCACCCGGAGCGTCGGGCTGCCCAGCGCCCGCTTGGCGCCGGGGCACACGGGGGGCTTGGCCAGCACGGCGGGCTTCACGGGCTCCTGCTTGGCGTTGATGACCTCCTGGCTCTTGACGTACTTGGCCTTGTCGGCCTCCAGCCTCTCCACGGCGCTGAGCCGCTTGGGGTTGGGCTCGGCCTGCCGGCGGAAGTAGTCGGGCCCCTTGTTGAGGATGCGCAGGGGCACCGCCGAGGTGAAGGTGCCCGCGGGGCTGACCGGCTTCACCATGCTACCTGCCTGCAGGGTCTCCGTGGGCATGGCGGGCGGTCTCTCCCCGGCGGCCGTGTTGGATGCTCTGCTGCGCGCCTCCGGATGCGCTGAACAGACTCATGTACACGGAGCGCAGAGGGCAAGGGGTGGACCCTGGGACCGGAGTGTCAGCAGCGGCGGCAGCAGCAGCGGAGGCGGCAGCGCCTCATCTCACATCCCATTCACCGCCTCTGGGGCTTTCCACTTTCTCTCTCTTGTGCAGGCAGCCCTGGTGCAGAGGACAGGAGCCACAAGTTCCTTGAAACCGCGTCGCCGCCTCCTTTCTTCTCCTCAAGGATGTGGGAGTTTCCTCCGGGCCTTTGTGTCCCACTGCAGGCAGAGCTGAAACACAAAACAACCAACCGCGGGTTAGGATGGGCAAGTGACATCACAGCTGTAGCAACCCGGAGCCCCGCTGCGGCGGGCGCCCCGCCTCTGCCTGCCCGCCTGCCCGCCGCCTGCCCGGGTGCCCGCCAGCCAGCCCAGTCCCCCGGAGTGCACCCAGGCCTGGGGGCGAGCCTGCTCCCCCCGTGCTCTGCAGGCAGCAGCCGGCCTGGCCGGCTTCTGGGAGAAAGCTGCTGACCTTTCCACGCGTGAACGCTTCCAGCCGCCTCCCCGTTGGTGGGAACGGCCTCGGATCATGCCAGGTTGGTTTTACTGATGTCAAAACCCAGGAGATGCTAGGCGAATGTAGAAATGCTGGTTTAGCAAAGCCCGGTTCCCAGTTCATGAACATCCTAAGAATCCCTCTATGGTTTACACTGCAACGTGGGGGAGTGATGTCTCCTTCGCAGTGAAGCCAAACTTGTGACTCCGTGCTACCTACCTCTCAGTGAACACCTGCAACAAGCACTGCTCACCTCTTCAACAACTAAAACAATGGGCGGGGATGGGATTGGCAGTGCAGATGAAAAATCTTTCAGAAAGCAACGTTTCTGTTACCTTATTTTTGCCAGTCAATATATCTGAAAATCCTTTCTCCTGGAAACCAAGAATGCTTTTATGAAGTTCAAGCTTATTTTTTAATAATAATAATAATAATAATAATAATAACAATAATAATAAACTAGAAGCACTTTTAGATTAACTATAGAAGTAGTTTGATTTTAAATGCTCCATCATTTTTCCCCCCACACTTAATGAGCAGAAATCAAAAGTTTCTCAGTGGAATGTATTTTTCCATCTCCCCCAAGGAAACAAAGCTCTTAAGATGTCAACCATGCCTAAGATGTTACTGTAGAGCGAACTTGTATAATAGCTAAGCTTTCCTGGAACTAATTCATAGTTTTCTGCTACCCCCCCCACCCCCCGCCCCAACCTCCCACTCCCCTGCTCCCATCCCCAACCAACCAATATGTATCTATAAGTCTATAGGGAGTTTTTCTACTTGCATTTACCTCTGCAGTCCTGGAAACAACTGCCTTTGCCTGCTCCTGCTGGCAGAGAACACTTAGGAATGCATCAGCATTGGAAAGTAACTGGCTAAAGACCTTTTTAGCTCCTTTGGTTATAATAAGGACTGTGAAGAGAGGAATGTATTCATCTAATATATCAAAAACCTAATGCACAAAATAAGTAAAGTGGAATTAACTATAAAACATCTGCTGTCATGGTAAGAAAATGAAGTGTCTATTAATAACGGGGGGGGGGGATTGATATTTCTCATCATCCTTTGAAACTCTTAATCTCTAAATGCACCCCTTGTCATGTTTCATTAGAGCTGGTTTCTGTAATCTGCAAAAGGATTTGTTCCAGCAAAAATATTTTCCTGTGCAAGATTTGAGAAGCCCCAAGGCAATTCCCACATAATGATTTTCTTTGGTTGTGTGGTTCCATTATAATACTTTAATTTAGCTTAAAAAACCACCTCCTCTTATGAAGATGAAGTGAAATTGTTTCTTTGAATGTATTTGGAATGACAGGCCAGAGAGGAGCTGTGACCTCTCTGCACATCCTCTGGGTCTGCCATCCACCACCCTGGACCCTCCTCGCTGGGAAGATGACCTGGGGCCCCTCCACTAAGGGGCTCACAGTCTGGGCCCCCAGACAAACCCCCTGGACAGGCCATGTTTCTCACACATCTTCACCAATTACCTCTGCAGCTTCCAAAATTCATCCAGGGAAGGGGCAGCACCAGGAGGCTCAGGGGCAGAGCGAAAGACAGGATTGGCATCTGCACTCAGCACCTTGCTGCCTATGGACCTCGGCAAACCCCTAGCAAGCAGGAAGAAGGCCCACTGGGCAACAGGAGACAGAGCTCAGACCTCTTCTTCTGCGGCCTTGTCCCTCCCCTATGAATGACAAGAGGTGCTTGGACGAGAATCCGATCCCTTCTCCATCTAAAATCACGTGGTTCTGGGGAGCTAACAAGAAGTGAGTTATTTCCAATCTCAAAAATGGCACCTGGAATTGAACTTTTGTATGGCACTTGCTGTTCTTAGGAAAATGTTCTTTGAATGCTGAATTGTAGTTAACATAAAACACCCACTGGCGATAAAGTGTGAAATGGCCTGTTTTCTTTTCTTTCTTCTTTTTTTTTTTTTTCTTTTTTAACAGAGAGGATTTTTTACAGAGAGGAAGGGAGAAGGATAGTTAGAAACATCAATGAGAGAGAATCATTGATCAGCTGCCTCTTGCACACCCCCTACTGGGGATGTGCCCGCAACCAAGGTACATATCCTTAACCGGATTTGAATTGGGACCCTTCAGTCCGCAAGCTGATACTCTATCCACTGAACCAAACCGGTTTGGGAATGGCCTATTTTCTAATTCCATTTTGGACCAGAAGTCCAAAATGTCCACCACTCCTGACCCGACTTGCCATGTGGCTCTGATGTTAAGGCAGGCTTTGGTACCATTTGGAACACTAAATAACAATCATTACTCTAACTCACAAGACTGAGAAACATCTATTTTGAACACAACTCCAGCTTCACCCATAGAAGTGAAAACTGGTCATTGCTCATGTGTGTTATGACAGAGGAAAGGGTATATATTGTTTGAAAGAGGGTGTCTGATATATTCAACTCTAAGTCAACTAACAGCTCAGTGTCTCGATCTTAACTGTGAAAAGAAATGTGTTGAATCGGTGAACTTGAAAATATCTTTAGATTAAACATTCTTGGAGGCAAAGAAGCAATTTCAAGAATTCTCAAAGAAGTGATTTTCCAGTTTGCTCACATGTCCGATCACAAAACATTTACAATATGAATAAAATTGTCCCATGCTGCCTTTTGATTTTGGCGAATAGTATTTGTGCTTACTGACTTCAACCTAAGAGTACAGCTTGACTGGGATCACTCTTATGCTTGTTTTTTTTTTTTTTTTTTTTTTTTTTTAAATATTTTTAATTGATTTTTTACAGATAGGAAGAGAGAGGGACAGAGAGTCAGAAACATTGATGAGAGAGAAACATCCATCAGCTATCTCCTGCACAGCTGCTGGGGATGTGCCTGCAATCAAGGTACATGCCCTTGACCAGAATCAAACCTGGGACCCTTCAGTCTGCAGGCCGATGCTTGATCCACTGAGCCAAACCAGTGATGGCTTTTTTTCTTTTCTTTTTTTCCCCCCCATTTAAATTCAGAGATAAAATAAATAAAATAAAATAAAATAAAATAAAATAAAATAAAATAAAATAAAATAAAATAAAATAAAAGCAGAGAAACAGCCTGGCCACTGAAGTAAAAATGCGGTTCCCCAGGACAACGTTAACTTGAATTCTTTACAAATGTAATAGAAATGCACTAAAAATATAAGATTGCTTACTGAAGTATGGACCGTGTTCAATCAGTTAATTGACTAGTACTTTTAACTGAGCAAATTATGTGTAAGTAACTAAAAAAGTCTTTTAGTAGAAGATTCAAAATACATCTGATGACTATTAATTAAATAACGTTGATGAAAAATGTGGCGGGATTGTCACAGATGACTTCCCGCAAACAACTTCTCAGCAGTTAGCTGAAAAACCAATGCTGGGGGGCGAACTGGAGTTAAAGGCCCGGGAGACAGGGCACCTGTTACCACAGCAGCTCTCGATGGAGTTCATGGTACATTCAAGGCAGTGAAAGGGCACTGCCAATGGCTGGCAGAGAGTGTTAGGGGACATCAGTGAGAAACCTACTGAGGGAGGGGAAAAGGGAAGATGGACTTGGATTCTATGTGGAGCAATGGGAGAGTACTACAGGGGAAGGAGGCACCAGCAATATCCTCCAGGCGGCACTGAGAATTGAACAAGTCTGGAGGGAAGAGTGGTGGGGGACAAAGTCTTAACCCCTGAGTTTTCACTGATGTCAGGTGGGCCAAAAAAGATGGCAATGGAGACAACTGCGCTTCAGCTGAGTAGGACCAGTGCAGTCCTCAGCTCTTTGTGTGTGTGCAGGGCAGCGGCCTAGTGTGCCTCCCGCACCTCAGACTGGCGGAGGCTGGACTCAGGGCCCTCTGGAAGCTGAGGAGCACGAAGACTGGCTGACAGCCCAGCCCTGAGGGGTTCAAAGGCAGAGCCTGCCATGGCCTCTCCAAACACAGGACTTGGGCAAAGGGAAGCTGCATTGCCATGCGTGCGGGGTGAGGGTGTTCTGGGACCATGCGTGTACCTGGGGGAAGGTAGGTGTCAGTGGTTATCTTAAAAGGAACTCTCACCAAAGATTTTCCTACCCCGAGGAAAGACTGTGAGCTTCCTCTAGTGGTCCGAAAGTTCCCCAAAAGCAAGCTGTCTGAAGAACCCCCCTGCCCAGGGGACACCGGATCCAGGAGTCAGAGGTGTGGAGAGGTATGCCATCTTTTCCTTACCAAGCTGTCCCCTCCCCCCCTCACATTTGTACTCACACGCGTGCCCTGAGAGGTTAGAAATGGCGCCTAATGAGTGGGAGAAGAGCTAGAGCAGGGAGAGAGGGAAAGCAGGGGGAAAACAACCTTTACTGAGTTCCCTATCCCCTCCTCCAGAGGTTTCCAAGCCAACACAATCTGCGCTGGGAGAGGGAGGAGGTCATTCACACCGAAGAGGCTGGAGTTCTGATCATGATGCTGCACTGGGCTCTTTGCATGCCTGAAACGGATCTGAGCGCTTTGAATAATTCACAACTCGCTGAAGAGGCTCTGGGTTCCGTCTGAGATTTCAGCCCAGGGTAGAAAGGAGAGCTCAGCAGAGTGGATTCCTAGGGCCCTGGAAAAAGAGGATACTTCCTTCTTCTGTATCCTAAGGAATCCAGGCCAGACCATAAAGCAGGCCCCGTGGTATTCCCTTCAGGCTTTCTGTTCGTTTGCCTGTTGACTCAGTGCCCTTCTCTGTTCAGAGCCAGGTCCCAGGGTCAAATGGGTTTCTCGGTGCCCGGCGATGTACA